CTCCTGGTTTTTCTACGATGAATAAGGCCATTACTACTGTCTTATCTGTATGCATTATGCTCCTTGCAAATGTACGGAGCAACTTACGTAAGCGGAGATGATTTGGGTTGTAAAGGATTTGTTAGGTATCAAAGATTTCCGTTCGCTCATTTCATTACATCGAAGTTTCGTGATTCCTGGAACAACTAAGCAAAACTTTTGTGACTCAGTTCGGTACTCGCGGACGTACTGCTTTAGTTTTCTTACAGTTTATAGCTGGCTTTACTGTGAAAATAATACCAGTCACGTAGAGTGCATCGCATAATTTCGTCTTCAAACGCGATCTTTTTTAACTCCACCTGCTCTTCTTTTCATGCAGTTTCTTTATTATACCGACGATGTAATCGTACATTGTGTACGGCACCTTGTGGAACATCAAATGATGCTCCAGTCATTTTCTCTCCCTGATCCCCCCCCTCCCTCAAACTGCTCCAGTCTCGTCACCGTTTGAACCTTCAACGGAGGCGACAGTACAAACATTGCGATAAATGCCCACTCGCTGCGCGTGAGATAACTTTCTTAAACGATGTGCAGTTGTGTCCTATCAGATCCCGCGCTACAGGAATTGTGAATCATCCTGAAAAGCCATAGCCTACGCAGTATCCAATGCAAAATACGCCGATGCAGCCTGGTGGTTCCTAATCATAATAAAAGCCTATGGTCAGTTGCTAATGATCATCATAATCAACGCAACATGGATCACCGCACGATAATGATATGATGCCAGCATGCATATTTCAAACGTACGTCAGACTTTGTTGATTACTGTCTTACGGCTTTTCATTACGGCTCAACAATCATACGGCTTTTATGGGCGTCATACATGCGAGGCATCCACTGTCCACTGACCTTCGTTTTATCCAATTTTTTCGGTGTGTTGAATTACAAATATGTGATCCGGATATCCAACTTTGCTTACAACTTTCCGCTTCGTTACTTGAAACCTTCTGCCCCAGATAAAAGTAGCTCAGCATTCTATGCTTATGTAAATTGAGTTAAGGCATGCTCACTTAAAACATGTCCATGCTGTGGTATTGGATCAGTTCTGACATTTTTCCGGAACAAAAGTAACGGACAGTTCGAAATTACGGTGATGAATCGGTATGAATGTCGTGCACAGCACCTCGACATTGATATTTTTTGCTTTAAGTCGATTTGAACAAATATTTCACGGTAGAATGTTGTGCATGAAATGCCTGTTTAATACACTGATTTGTAAGCCTCCTTTTAATTTCATTGCGGGACCAGCTCATAGTTATTTAATACTAGTCGGAATGAAATGTTCCTCGTTCATGTATTGCGGCATGTGCCGAACAACGTCCAGCCGAAATATCTTGCATGCTGTACCGCAATGCATTTGTTCTACATGGCTTGTCATTTCATCTGCACCCTTTTATTGGTAACGAGTGCGCACCCCCTGTTTTACCGTGTTTGGGTGCGTGTGGGTCCGTTGCGCCAGTGACGATGTCGTTGCCCCATGCGACTCGCACTCTTACGTTAACCCTCCCTTCAACGCACTAGCTCTCCGTAACAATTCGTCGTCTTTCATATAAGCAGCTGGCTTCCGCTGGCAGGCGGACACAGCCGCCTGCACGGCTGCCGTCCCCGGTTTAGGCGGCGCCCTGTTCTGGAAGCCCCCCGTTTGCTTCCTCCAGCCGTATGCCGTGATGTTCGCCGCACGTGAAGCTCCTCACATCTTTCGGGACGTTTCTTATGGGCGAGGCTGCGCGCGGCAGGAGTTGCATTTCAAGCATTATACAGTTTTAATCTTGAGTGACCCTGCGCCGTAGCGGTCACGACACTAAGATGCACCCGGCCGGGGGATGTTGACCGCTTGAGTAACCCTGCGCCGTAGCGGTCACGAGACTAACCTGCGCCCGGCCTGGAGATGTTGACCCTACTGGTTTTTCGAGCACAGGTCACAAACGAGCGCTCGCAGCAACACGATATTTCAATACCAGTCCATCTATCAACTTGAGATCCTCTGTGCAAATTTGAGGCTTTGACACACCAAGATCAGTGATATACGTCAGGTCAAAGATCAACCTTGATAAGTCAGGCCAACCTCCAAAAAACTCTGACCGCATCTGACTTTTTGTGGGCAATTTGCCTTCGTCTAAACTTGCTATAGTCAAATAGCATTATAATGCGTACAGGTTGCAGCTTTTATATTTTGGAAACGGGCAAGGTCAGTGACCTAAGGCCAGGCCAATTTGTCTATTCTTCGTAATAAGTGCAAATTTTAGTATGTTGGGTAGTTTTGATGTTTTATATGAATAAAATAGTACTAACTCACATGCGCAACCATCATATGATCACAGAGCACATGACCTTGGCCCAGGTCAGACAAAACTCTTTAACTGCCTTCTGCAAAACGCATGTTGAGCTGAAAAGGTAGTTTTATTCGGTAATTTGGACGTTGAATTCCAATCCTCCACTAAAAACATGTTTCAGTAGCATTGTAATGTATAAGGAGGTCACGGCATATCACTTGAGAACATTCAAGTTTATACGTGGTCATCCAAGCTCAATGACTTATGTCATCAGTAGCGAAGAGGCTAGATGAACGAGTGTATACGTGTCACCACCTCCTTATCGCATTTATAAATCTGGTGACATAAAATTTAAGGTGCCAACGTGCTTGCTCTCAGTTTGCTGCAAATGTATTGTTAAGCGTCAAAGGGAGTGCGTATAGTGCATACAAAGCATGCAACCTTGAACACCTGCGGATACAGAACAAAGTATTTTTGACCACAGAAATGCATTGTTTCGGTCATATAGCCCAGGGTAGCACTTTTTGCATTTTAATTTAGATTGTATGATATACGCGGATGATATCCTGATATGCTATCATAACACGCTGTTAAATACATCAATACATTTGTTTGCTATACTTTGATCGCACTCCCCACAACAAAACTAAAAAGACGCGCTTTGCAACGTGGTACGGGTGAGATAATAACAAAGACAGTCTATGGCTATCACCACGCCAAATTTGCCGAACACGAACACGAAGTGAATGGGGCCGGACGGCTTTTGCAGCCCATGCCCACGGAATTGATCGATGCGTTGAAAGCTTGTCTTTCTTCAGGAACAGAAGAAGGTTTACTGATGTAACATTCGCGTGCTTGTTCACAATTTACATTGCGGTGAAAAATTGACGGCTATGAGACTGGAACGGACAGACCAGACCATTTCTATGAAGCAAGGCGGTGATCTTGCCATCGCGCATTGTTTGGGTACTTGTGGCGGAGCATAGCAAAAACTTCCCTTATTTTGGCTTTTGTTTCGGTAACAATGCACGCGACCTGACATCGGTGTAGCTCCGTGCAGTGTTCTGACCGAATCTCTTCCTATGTTGGCCATAGCATGCGGTTTTGGAGATCATGTTGGAAAAGCTGACACTGGCCGCTATCCGCCCGATCACTGGCGCACAGAGGTCGGAGAAATTCGAGATCTATCAGTGCGTTGTTTAGCCGGCACATCTGCTAAGAATGGCCCGTTGGTTCTGTGCCTGTACTTGTTAACCCAACGATGCTTCAAAACGCCGTGAAGCGGGCGGATGTACGGCTTGCGCACAAAAGCGCATGGTCGTCTGCCGGCATCGACCTGCACTTGTTGCCAGCGGGACCGTGCCTTTCTCCCCCGTCAGAATCTGGCTCGTGCCACTGCCACGCCGCGCTGTCAAGAGCCGAATGTTTCGCAATTTGAAAACTTCGCTGTCCTCGCCGACTGAATGAGGAGGGAAACCCTATTGCAATATCATGGGAAAGGCCTGCCTAAACTAACTGCTTGCGAGCAAACGTCTTGTGCAAAATCACGTTTAGCGAATTGCCTGTCTCGCGGCTGAAGACTGCATGAGCGTGCAATCAGTAATTGCATCCCGTATGCTGTGCCTCTTGCGTCTTACAACTGAATGGCGATTCAGTGAGTTGCAGCAGTATAAGCCCACCATTAGCGTGACTAGCCGGGTCAGTCCGAGGGGAGCGGCCGCTGAAGCTGGAGCATTGCTGGAAACGCGACGTTGAAACGTGGTCGGCCTGCCGTCCGTTCAGAATCAGTACAAATATGTCGATGTGGTGGAGTCCGATTGCCTGGTCAGGCTGGACCCAGCGGGCAGTTTTCGAGCAACGCTGCTCGTTAATTAGCGCTCGAATACCACTGCGGCAGATTTGCGACAGTTAAACCCTCGTGAAAGGCAGACCTTCCAACGCATTGGTCAATCTCATCACCATTGGCCGCTGAGTGTGTCTGGCCTCTCCAGCTTAGTTTTTGACATAATCTGCATAACGACGGCTGGTGACTGTCACGTCTGCTGTGATCTCGCTCGCCTTAAGCCGCTGAAGGCGTCCTTCTGTAGATTAGAAGTATGCCGCACCGGAGATCGGAATTTCACCACAGAGGGTTTGGGTCCTGTTGATCTGCGTAATGTCACCATGGGTGATGCAGTGCAGTGTGTTCGGATGGTGGCTTTACTGGGAATAATTCCAAGCGCAACGAACGTGACGATATCATCTCCGCGTGTCACCGCCTCCCACTGGCTTGCCGTCACACCGGCGTCTCGCAGAGCAGGCCAATTGTCCTTTATTTGTGCAGCTGATAATCATTTTACATTTATGATGTGTGCACCTCTACACGAAACATCGCAGCTGCGCTCGTGATCAAAGTACATGATTGGGACATCTGGCGTCACTTACCAGGTCACACTTTTCATCTTGCATCTTGTGTCCACATGTATGCGTCGTGTCTGATGACATATTTAAGCTCATATGGTCTGTTGCTTCGCTCCCTATCGAGTCTCCGGGCTCAAACTGAACGTCTGAACTGAGCTGAAGGTCTCGTTTCACCGATGCGTGTCTCAGCTCAGATGTGAACCTTCGTTTCAGCTGCTATTCCCCCCGCTGAGATGTCCCAGGGACATTCAGCAGAGGCGCCAGCTCAGTCACGTCACGTGATTTCAGATGATGTCTCTGAGCTCCGACGTGATGCCGCAGTACCGCCAGGAGGCGCCCAAAACGCCGCCGCACATCCTCCTCCACTACTGTGCCTTCAAAGCCATCTGGGACTGGGTGATCCTCTGCCTCACCTTCTACACCGCCATCATGGTGCCGTACAACGTGGCGTTCAAGAACAAGACGTCTGAGGACGTCAGCCTTCTAGTGGTGGACTCCATAGTGGACGTGATTTTCTTCATAGACATCGTGCTAAACTTCCACACCACGTTCGTGGGACCCGGTGGTGAAGTGGTCAGTGACCCCAAGATCATACGCATGAACTATCTCAAGTCGTGGTTCGTTATAGACCTGCTGTCGTGCCTCCCCTACGATGTGTTCAACGCCTTTGACCACGATGAAGATGTAAGTAACTGCGCCAGCGTCTCCGGCCGCAGCGAAAACGTAAGTACGGCGCCGGGCGCGCAGGGCGGCCGTGGCTTCAGCTGCCCGCACGGCACTGCCTGCCGCTCTGTCTCCGCTCTCTCGCTCTGCCTGCCCGCGCTGCGCTCTCTCCTGCACCGGCGGCGGAGGGACGGCGACGCAGCCGGAGCCGGCCGCCGCCGCTTGCTGTGAGCCGCACGCGTCCTGCATGGGCGCCGGCGCCCCCGGGCGTGGCGCGGTGAACGGGGCTGCGACACGTGGCCGGTGCGGCGTGCACCGGCGCGCCGGCCTGACGGAGCCACGCGGTACTGGCGCTCGCGGCAGGCCGGCCAGCACCAGGTAGTCGCCGAGGCTTGGTCACGAGCCGACACGGCCGTGTTCGGTGTCGTGAGGACCGGCTGCCGTGCGCCAGTGTGAGTGAGATTCACGCCGCCGTCGTGTTCGCATTCACCGTGTTCTTAAGGATGCCGTTCGAGTTGACACACGTATGCGCCTTGATTGACAAAGCTCGTTGCCCTCGGCGCATAATTTCATTGTTGGGAATTGGTGCTGTCCTGTCAATCGGGAAATGGCGTTAAGCAGCGTGTGCGCAAGTTTCATATGCATCGCATCAGGCTGTGTGATGCGGAGCTGTTTTGCATGTATCTCTCCATTAGAGATAAGTTGAAAAGTACTTCGTCATAATGATGCAGCAGTTGGCAGGATACCAAACGGAATTTTGGTACAGGAATGTGTGAATGTGTGCACAGGTGAAAGAATATGTGCCAAGGCTACTTCGTGAATGGCAGTACGTATCCGACGACCCAAAGCATAACAATTGCTAGAAAATTATCGCACAGTCCCAGTTTTCACAGGACTTTCGGCTGCTGCTATTACCATACAGACACAAACCCCGAAGTATATATACCCTGTGCGTTGAATTGAATATTGTCCTAAACACCACTCTGTTGGAGTCTCTTTGTCTCTGAAGGATTGTCGCCTGCGTCGCAGGTCCAACTGAACAAGCGTAGGCAGATCCGCGCAGCGGCTTTATTGCGGCGAGCTCTCACCGAACTGCCGGGGACCATTTTGAGCTGTCCTCCTCTAGATTTAGTTGGACGGCCTCAGGCCACTGCTGACACCACAGCAAATAGAGCCCGCGGGGTTTACGAGTGCCTCCGCGGGATGCGGTGCCTTCACGCAGACATAATTAACAAAGTGCCGCAGGGTGAAGAGAGGCGGGACTTTCCGTGTCCCTGTTTCCATTAGTTTCCTTCCAGTGTCATTAGCATGCCTGCTCAGCTCGGTATCATGCCATGAATAGCATTATGGTCACATTAAGTTGGATGCGGCGGCATTAGCCTTATTAGTCGGTCTGTCTCGGCTTGATTTTGGAATGGGTTCATAATGGGTGGTTGGGTACTGGGATTGGGTGGAATGGGTGGGACACATTCACCCTCCGCTGTTGTTAAAATATTCATCACATTTTAACGTACCGTTTTGCGCACCTGGGACCAGAGAAATGTGGCCGGCCGGTATTGGGCCCATTTTTCTGCGCTTCAGTAGACACTGTGGCTAATTAAACTAAGCAGCGCAAAAATGAGACTATGATCCGGCGAGGTTTTCTCTAAGCTTTGACACACCCAGTTAACGTTCTCCTTCTTGGGAAAGTTTGTGACAATAACAGGTCTCAAAGTATGTTCGTAGCTAAAGCTCATCAAATTTATACCAATTGTCATCGATTAGTCATATTGCGACCATAAGAGGCCTCAAAGCATATCTTGAGCTAAAACGCATCAAATGTTTATCACTTGTCGTCGATTAGTCAATGGTGACATTTGCGTCTCTTTGCGGGGGCGTGTGCACATAGGGGCTCCGGACCGTACGTAACCCCCCCCCCCCCCCTTTACCAAATGTATGGCATGCATTAAATAGGCTGGCTTGTGCCTGGTTGTTATCAGCCACAATTTCATATCTAGAATTTGCGACGTTGTTTTTAAGAAGGTAAGAGCACGTGCCTGCTGAGGGCTCAACTCGGTTTTCGGTGGAATTTTGTCAGTTGTGCCCCCCCCCCCCCCACGCGTACACACCGCAACTGGTAAATTCTACGTGTGTCCCTGTCTCAGTGTAACTACGTAGGATCTTAGCCAGAGACGAATGGGAAGTCGAGAACTGGACCCGCAGTCAGAAGTGAGGAATCGTTGCGGAGTCAATATTCGGGTCCCCAAAGCCGGCTGCCGTCTCTCGACTCACCTTGACTCACCTGGCTCCCGACTCACCTGAGAAATCGTCAAGAATGGACCCGGAGTCGGGTATGTGGTCAGGATCCCGCTTGATTCGGCCAGGAATCGGGAGCAGGAGTCAGGTCTGTGGATAGGAGCCGGGTCTGTTGCCGAATAGTTCCATCAGTCCGGTGGTGACAAGAGAAGAGCTAATGCCCGTGGTCAGGAGCGGGGTCCGTAGTCAGAAAAAGGGGCTGTAGTCGGGAGTCGAGTCCGTAGTCAGGGGCAGGGCAGTCAGGTGTACGGACCATAGTTAGGGGTGGGAGCGACAGTCAGGAGCATATCCTGTGCAGGGGCCGTAGTCAGGGGCCGGGTCGGGGGCCGTGTGTCCGGTGGGACCTGGCGTTTCGCTCTCGCCTTCGCGCCAATTCTGCAGCGCGCGATTGCCCGGCGCCGCGTGGGTTTGGCGCCAGATTGAACTGTGCTGCTGGTGGAATGGAAACTCCCGGGATTGCCCGGGTGGGTACCCTGTGATGGTGGTGCCGGCCCGTCATTGCTTCAGGTGGAGCAGCACACAGCAGCAGCACACACAGCACGGGTGTGCTGTTAGGTGTATTGCCGGATGAATTGCACGCCAGGTCAGCTCAGGTCAGCTCAGGTGACAGCTCGCGTCACTGAAGGATGGTGGAGTGGCCTAGACACCAGGCCCAGGATATCAAATCTTCTGGAAGTGGAGCCGTTTTAAAAGTCGACCATTTGCATGAAGTACCAAAATATGGGTGCCACATGCACAAAAAAGAGCGGAGATTTCAGTAGTGTGGAGGTCAGGCTCCGCGTTTCGGAAACCACAAGAGCGGGGCCCAATACCCTTCGGCGCCTGTTATTCCTGCCAGGGTGAGGAGCAGACGCCACGGTATAGACCCAGCTGCTGAGTGCGTCGGCAGGCCCCGATGGCGCCAACAAAAAGTGACCGTAGAGGCCATGTTCGTCTTGGTCCTCTGACCTGCCTTTGTGATACGTGGCGGAAGGGGACTGTAGTCACTCGTCATCGATTCAGAATTAGCATGCTGGTTGAAGCTATCAGCGTAGGTTGTTTAACCACTCCGCCAGCTTTCTGGGCAGGTCTGATAAGGATCGCAGAACCCACTGATTTTGACTGGCGAAAAGAAGATCGGTTTGCCTGGCTTTTTTCAGTGACGTCGTAGGTCGACTTATACGTGATTTGCGAAAAGTGGTTTACAGCGTGCGCTGGTTCTCCAAAGCTGAGGCTGATGCGGCAGCACGGTGCACCCAGACCATCAAACGGACAAGCGTCGTTCGGATGATGACGGGTGTGGCTGGAACCCGTGCCGCGAAACTGCTGAAACAAAACCGTGGCGTCACGCCTGTTCCGTCGGCGGCCTTCCCAGGGAGTGGCCGCCGCTCGCCGAGCCCTCCCAGGGGGCCACCGCTCGCGCCCTGCCCCAGTCGGCCGGCGGCCGCCATATGCTAGCTGTCTATATATGTGCTATATACTATACATATACTATACATGCTGACCACATCCCCAGTAACCTGAGCCTCGCCGCCGCCGGCCATTGAAGCCCCGTCCAGTGTTCAGTGCACCGCCCGTGCGCTCGCCGTGACCTTGGCCGCGGCCGTGACCTCAGGGCATCGGCAGCCTGTTCAGCGCGCTGAAGGTAGTACGCCTGCTGCGACTGGGCCGCGTGGTGCGCAAGCTGGACCGCTACCTGGAGTACGGCGCCGCCATGCTGATCCTGCTGCTCTGCTTCTACATGCTGGTGGCGCACTGGCTGGCCTGCATCTGGTACAGCATCGGCCTGTCGGACGCCGACAACGGCGTCACATACAGGTGACCGGTGGCGCCGGACCGCGCGGTGACGGCCGGTGACGCGCCACGTCCGCGTTGACGGCAGGTGACGGCCGGCGGTGACGTGTGCCGACCGTGGGTGACGGGCGTGGCCTGCCGTTGTTGTGACGCTGCGCCGCGCGCTCGCGCCCCACCCTGCGGTCCGGATGTCCACCGAGACAGGGCGCGAGCACGGGAAGGTGGCCGTTATGCTAATGATAATGGGGTGCAATGCATTAGCGTTTAGTCGTGTGCATATGGGTTCGGAGACAGTTTGCGGCAGTGCTGCTGAGTAGGTTGGCTACGCTACGCAGTGTTGTGTTACGAGAGGCTGCTTTAAATGCTCAGACATTGTGGGGTAATTCAAAGACAAAGCCTGCCTTTAAAGGACAGGATACCGTCTTCTCACCATGTGACGGCGGAACTCTGCATCCCGTTTAAATGACTGGTGCTGGATCAGGAAAGGAAAATGCCGGGACCCGACCACCAGGACACCTGGACATCTGTCTGGGACACTGGGACCACCAGGACACCTGGACACCTGTCTGGGACACTGGGACCACCAGGACACCTGGACACCCGTCCTGGACACCGGGACCGCCAGGACACTTGAACACCTGTCTGGGACACTGGGACCACTAGGGCACCTGGACACCTGTCCGGGACACCGGGACCACCAGGACACCTGGACACCCGTCCTGGACACCGGGACCACTAGGACGCCTGTCCCCATGGCACAGCAACGCGGCACAATTCGCGTCCTGTCATCACGGCTCTTACTTTTGTTCCGCGCTGGTGGAGAGGTGCCCTGTACTAGTTCAGTGCGAGTTATTCTTGCTTTTGTTTGCTTCATTGCTGACATGCTCAGCTTCGTGGGTTCTCAGTTTTCATAAGGCCTTGGGTTCTCGTACTCAACATACCGACTTTCCATACGCCTAAAGGCCGACATGCACAGTGAGGCTCTGACCTACAAGCGGGCCCCGCTTGAATAAAGGAAGGAAGCAATCATGTATATAGCGATTTTGCCAGAATGCTCGACGTTTCCAGACAGCGTGCCCACGGTGTTCGCCACTTACACTAAGTGTTCATCAGTGCTATCGCGTTTGCTCTAGATTATTGTGGATTGTCGGGAAGTACTATACGCGAGCATTGAGGCTTCAGCTAGATTTCAAGATTTCGCTGGTCAATCACTCTGATATGATGGCAATAGGGGCGCAGCCTAAACCTTGGTAAGGGAGCAGGGGACGCGGTGCTAAAAAAGGGCCTTCCTGCTGGTAAAGGACTACCCCTGAAACAAAAACTCTCTGATATGGGCCACTTAATTTCAAAGGGGGCACGATACTTTTCGTTTTATTTCAATTTTTTCTTCTTAACTGGAACAGAATCCAGAAGCTACCGAAAGATGCAATTCTGCTTTTATTTTCTGTCTGTGGCCTTTGGTCAAAATAGGAGCCTGCACTGTCCCAGGGATCCCCAATCGGTGCGAACGACCATAGGACTGACATTTCAGGTCTCGACCGCTCGAGCGGGAGTCCTTAATGTGACGTACAGCAAGCCCTTCGGGCCCGCCCATCGCAGGAGGGCATACCATGGACTCGTGGACTCCGAGTCCCCGACCAGTGCAATTCGCAGGCCTGACCTTATCCCTGCTTGGGAAATGGGCCCTCAGTCCAGACCGACACGAAGCTGACTTTTCGGAACTGGTGGTGCCTGACTGACATACGAGCCCGCTCTGACTCAGAACGAAGGGCCTTTTGACTGGCATTTCAGGTCCCGGCCCACAGAGCCAGCCCCCGAATGTGCTCTCCGGCCAGCCCTCCGGGTCCTCAAACCGTACCGTTGATCGCCGGTCAATGTGAATGGTCTTTTCGGGCCCCTCGGGGCGTAAGAAAGTTGGAGGGCGGGGGGGGGGGGCACGACTCCCTGTGCCCCTCCCGCACCTGCGCCGGTGGATTACAGGTGACTTCATCTGCATGGCAGACGGTTATAAAAGGTGACGCTTGATGCCCATCCAATGTGTGCGGTGTTTGCCGACGGCGGTGATGAGGCAGGGCGGCGGCCGGTCACCTGGCGCACACCTGGTCCCCGTCCGGCAGTGAGGTGGCCGGTAGCCAGCTCTCCGAACACATCCTCTCCGCCTGACCTGGGCACTCTCCGCCCCGTCCGTCAGTGAGGCGGCCGGTAGCCAGCTCTCCGAACAGGCCCTCTCCGCCTGACAGCGGTTCGCTCTGTCCCGCCCGGCAGCTGGCTCTGGAAGCTGGCCAACATCACCCAGTCGCCGTACTCGTACGTCTGGTCCAACGAGACGATGGCGCCGATTCTGGTGAACGGGCCCTCTCGCAAGACCATGTACGTGACGTCACTCTACTTCACCATGACGTGCATGACCAGCGTGGGATTCGGCAACGTGGCGGCCGAGACAGACAACGAGAAAATCTTCACCATCTGCATGATGATCATTGCTGGTGAGCATGCCTCAGGGTTGCCTGCCATCTTGAGCAAGTACCAGGGCGGGGGTGTAGGGAACCGCCCAGGGCTTTCTGAAGCGGCATGTGTGTGGAGGTCGGATGTCGTTAGCAGCAGTGACGCGGCAACCAGTCTGATGTTTACTGGCCAAAGGGCATCGGCACGAGCGGCAAGTAATGGGTTCGTGTCTGCATATACTGAATAACTTTTTGCGTCATAGTTTTTGTTCGGAACGAGTCGCACCTACTGGAGTGTCAGTGAGGACATTGAAGTCGATGAACAAAATTTTGCGCGAAGCTGCCGTCCCTGCGTTATAAAATTCGGCTGTTTATCCTGGATGAACCGGTTTTTAAATGCACAAGCTACAGCGCATCGCAAACGTTCTCCAAGGATGGGCCCCATAGCTCATTGCAGGATCATTGCACCTTATCTTCACGATGTTGGCTTTGGGGGAGGAGGGTCGTTTAGCGCATTTAGGTCCCACACCGGACCACTAAACCTGGACAGACTGTTTGTCCGGTGCAGGCGGCTCCCACCGGTCACTTAGCCTGGAAAGAGCCTCGTCCGGCAGCCGTCCGCCACACTGGTCACGCTCCTCCATTGATCCCGGGCGGCGAAGGTTGTCTGGCGTTGCGGTGACACACATTGGTCCCCGGAGGAACATGCACACACTGTACGGAGAAGCGCTGCTCTACTTTCCGCTGGTGCCTCATGATTGCACGGTATATTTATTTTCAGAGCCCTAGCTGAGGCAGTGTTCAAAGCGCACGTGGGCTTCTAAAAAATTAATAATGTCTATTCAAAGCGCACGTGGGTTTTTAAAAAAATAAATAATGTCTACTGTTTGTCGAGATCTTTTGGCCTACCTCCCGTAGGTCTCGTCGAACGAACTGGTGTAAGACCGGATCTTAACTCCGGGCCTTTCGTTGTGTTAAAAAGCTGTATCCCCAAATGCATGCAAGGATGAGATGCAGTGCACGGTTCGTCATCTGGAACAAATGGGCACTCGCTGCGTGCTCACTGCTTCTCGCGTGAACTATGTCTGAGCTTCCATTGGTCGGAGACAGGCTAAGCGAGTCGCATGATATCCACCTTTCAGTTATCTATAAACAGCCGTCGACATAGACGATGTCCCAGCGCGAGTGCGCTGTCGGCTCAGCTCCACATTACAACACCACCGGCCACCACCGATGAACCGACCGCTGCTTCCTCCCCCTCCCCCCTTTCCATGCGGGCGGCGGCGGGCGGCGCGTGTCCTCCGCCCGTCTCGCACGCCCGTCACCAGTGCCGGACGGGCGGAGCGCGTGTCAGGCGTGCGTAGCGGTCGAGACAGGCCCGTCGCGGCAGCCTCGGTGATGAATCGACCCCAGTTTACCGGCCTGTTAGCGGTCGTCGGGCGACGGCCGTCGCCTGCGAGCACGGCTCTCGTAAACTGCTCTGGTACCGGCCGAGGTGTCCCCGCGAGCTCCCCAGCGGTGTCAATGACCTCGCTGGGACTGGGGAAACGCACCGAGGTGTAGACATATCAAGACCTGGTATGGGCCCGTGACAGCGCCGTAGTGACGCAGAAAGTTATCATTATTGGTGAGAGTTTTGAGCCAAGTAGAGACGGGTGTGCTTTAACACTGAACGGGACTATTAACGCCTCCAAAAAGTATAAAGCCGTCATCCAACGTATTTGCTCAAAGAGTGAAAGGCGCCTCACATGCTCCGCGATTTGCCAGGCACGTTTGAAGATGGTTGCCTTTTGCAGGACTCCTTTAGAAAGGGATGCGTTGGTGTAACTACTAAATATTACACATGCCTCAGACTGTTTCAGGCGTCTGAAAAAGGCAAGGACGGTCCTCGCGCAAAAACGCTGATCACAGTGGACATGTGGGTATCGGTAGTGAAGGTGTTCAGCCGCGCGTCTGGAAAACCGGAGGCATGGGTGCTAGGTGCTCATTCCCCGCGGTGCTGGCCCTACTTTCCAGGCGAGAGGCTAGTGAAGCCATGAAGTCCCGACAGCGGAGTACATCGTACATCCCCATGTCACACAACCACACGCAAGGGACATGTGAACCACCGTGGTAACGACCTCCCGCACGTCATGGTCTATGCCAATAAGAATAATTAGATTATCAGTGAATATCTTGGGACATCAAATCTAATGTCATTGTCAGACATCTGTCTTGAATAAAAGCAGTCAGCGTTTATTCACGTTAAACTATGGCTTCATTGGCATAGCTCTCTATCTGCACAGAACAGGTATTGTTGCGCTACGTGGGACAGGAAGAGAGCAATGTCCGTCATACCTCGCATTTCCAAAGTCTGCATGTATCATACGGCTGAACCCAATGCATAAGAGGCGATCTGCTTTGACACGGTACCGTTTGAGAACAGCGTTGGAGCAGCAGTATTAAAAAGGTGCCGCCACGCAGCGGCTTCACGCATTTGGCGAGAGCGATGTAGGGCAATTCCGGTAGTGTCTAAACAAAGTCAAGGCCCGTGCTACAAAATGTCGCGAGCTGAAAGACGTTGACGTCTTATCGATATCACACAGAAAGACGCCGTGCACTTTTAGCTGCGGTCTCCGTGCTGCTCGGGTCTGGGCGCCAGCTGAACACCGGCATCGGTTTCCCGGTGCTAAGCTTGTGGCCGGCATTCGCTGAGGCGGGCGCAGGCCAATACTTATCGGCCGTGTCAAGGTTCGGACGTCGAGGCATCGGCTAAAGAAGGCCATTGCCATTCGAGCCGCCCTCCACCGCCGCCGGTATGGTTTCAATATCGGCCGCCGCTGCCGTGGCGTCAAACCATTACATTTTTAGCGTCACATCCGAGACGGGCGGTGAGGGAGGGGCTGGCTGGGCCTGCGAAGGACGGCGCCACGAGCGCGACGGGCACCGCTGCGTCCGGCGCCCCTGCTGCCGCTTGCACTGCGGACTGTTCATCAGAGCCTTCAGCTCCGTCAGTCCGCGCTTGTGCTCGACCTTGTATCGCGCCGTCTAGTAGTCACAGCGCAGCAAAAACAGCGTAGCGTGCGCACATTTAAGCAGTAAAGGAATTTTGTCGATCGACGCATACCTAAACCGAGCCTTGTGGCCGCCCCCAGCAAAGTGGAGCTGAAGCCGCGCCGAATCTGACGAAAGGCGTAGAGTTGGCGAACGCTGCCGTCGACAGGTGCAGCTGAAACGCCTGCTTCGAGCGCTCCAGGAATAGATAGGATGAGCGCGTAAACGCCACTTCCTCGAACCTCGCCACGCAGCGCCGTATCGCCGATATCCGTCAGCTGAAGGACGGTGTTTCGAATGCAGGCGCGAGGGCGGACTGGTTTTATTCCAACTAACGCAAGCGTGTTACATGTGACGGTTCGAGGCCCAGGAACGCATTGTGTCCATGCAAAGGCTCGCCGAAGTGGAAGATGTGTGCATGGTAAGAACACACACCACGTCTACAAATGATGTAAGGGGTTCGCGAGTGAGTCCACATTGGGAAACAATTATTCTCCTGCTGAGGATGGTCCCTATTCTGGAGCGCTGAACTTCAAAGTTATCCGATAAACCCATGTCATTTTAACTTCATCGCACTAGTCAGCTCATTGCGTCCTTATAGATCCATGCGTCAATGCGCTGAGGAAACTCGACTTGAGAGCCTGGCGAATGTGTTCGGTAATGGGTGGCTTCGGGACACCTTCGGAGGAGCGCCATCAGACTGGGTTATTGCCGTGAACTCCCCATAAAGGCGGACAGGATCCTGTCATCGATTTCTGCCGCCTTTCCCAATCGATGGCGTTCTGGTGAAGCCTCTCAGTGGCAGCGGCCGCCCGCGCCGGCTGCACTGCTCACAGCCGACCGCTGACTCCGGCCTCCCGCGGCACGGCGTCCCGCGGCACGGCCTCCCGTGCTCTGCCCTCCAGTACTCCGGACTCCCGTGCTCCGGCCTATCTTGCTCCGGCCTCCCGCGACACGATCTCCCGTGCCCCTGCCTCCCGCGCCCCGGTCTCCCGCGGCACGGCCTTCCATGCTCTGGCCTTCCGCACTCCGGCCTTCAATGCTCCGGCCTCCCATGCTCCGGCCTATCGTGCTCCTGCCTCCCGCGGCACGGCCTTTCATGCTCCGGCCTCCCGCGCCCCGGCCTATCGTGCTCCTGCCTCCCGCGGCACGGCCTTCCATGCTCTGGCCTCCCGCGCCCCGGCCTCCCATACTCCGGCCTCCCGTGCTCCGGCCCTGGTTTGTTACGGCCTGTTCCCGGCTAATCAGGCCCGCTCTAAGGGCGCCTCGGCACTGGATTGCCCCTGTGTGGCGGCTGACGTTCTGATCACGCATCACTGGCCGTGGTCTGATCTGGCTTTAACTGGCTGCAGCCGTGGCGAGTCGGGTGACCAAGCACCTCGACTCCGCGCATGTTCGCGTATCGCGAACGTCCTACGGAGCCGCGCATTGCCCCATTTGTGCCTTTGTCTACCGTGCCATTGTTCCTTACATGCATTGACTGTGCGGAGATCACGCTGTGTTGACCGGATCTCTGCCCGGCAGCGCTCCTGTACGCTACCATCTTCGGCCACGTGACCACCATCATCCAGCAGATGACGTCAGCCACGGCCAAGTATCATGATATGCTCAACAACGTGCGCGAGTTTATGAAGCTGCACGAGGTACCGAAGGCGCTCTCGGAGCGGGTCATGGACTATGTGGTCAGCACGTGGGCCATGACCAAGGGCATTGACACGGACAAGGTAGAGAACGAGGCGAGTGTATGATCCAGTTCCAGCTCCGGCACCAGGGTAACGCTATCCGATCCGCGGGAATACCGATGTCTGTGGCAGACCTCCGCTCTCCCTCCCCGGTCAGGCCGTCGGCCGCAGCGCTGAGTGTCACCGCCGGCCAAACGTGCTGGCTCACTACCACGGGCGTATTCATCTGGCGTGGCTTCAATGGTCAAAAGGGTCAACCGAGGGGATCAAAAGAGTTCTTGGAAACGAATGTTCGAATTCAATTTTTAACAAGGAAAACGTCTGGAATGTTACCACGTTTGCCTTTTGTCTTCAGACGTAACGCTCTCAACGTTTCCCTGGATGCGCGACGTTTCGGCGCTTCGCCAAGGCGTTTCGCTGGCCAAGTGATGTGGGTGGGGCGAGCCGGCCGCCCAGCCGTGCCAGTCACCATACCGCGCCCGTCTTGTGGCCCACTCAGCTGCTGTAGTCGCCCGGCTCCGGCGCGTGCAGCGGCGTACCTGGCGCGGCGCGCCGCACGCCGTCTCGAACTTTCCGCAGCCCTGGCCCGCCTCGTAGGCGACGAGAGTCACGGCCAACTTTGGCGACAGCCGTAAGAAGTTGGCGCTGTCGGACTACGGCTCGTTACGAACGCTCGAGACGGGGGCGGCCGCCGGCGCCCCAGCTATTGCATGCCCCGCAACCAATGCCTCGTACCTCAGAGGCAGGTCAAGTCCTCTGTATTGCTCTGCAATGGGCTGGACACGACGTGTTACTGTAGCTTACGATTGACATCTAGTCTGAATTTTGCGTTCCGCCAAACGGAACGCATCGGTATTCCCGCGGGATTCGGAGGAAATTTTGTCATGAAGTTTATATTTCGATTGCAGTATTGCCACCGGTTTCGCAACCTTTCTCACATGGCTTGCGCTATGACATGTGTTCTGGTATTCCTCAGCTTGCGCGCACCTGCCCCTTTTGTTTCAAGCAGTGGCCTTCGGGCGGGCTCTGCCGACAGCCTGCAGTTGGTAAACGCCTTTGATGCGTCTTTGGCGATCTTGCGGCCAGCGTACTAGACACCACGGATGGGATCCCTCTCCTCCCTCAATGCCTTCATCGCATTGCCGTACTATTCCTGTAACCAGTAATCATTTTGGGACACGCTTGTCGTTAGTCATCTTACTCTGCTCGGAAGTAATCTCACCGTTTTCGCTCCGATACACATTCTTCCTCTCTCAACACCACCTTTCTACAATGTTTCTTGCCTGCTTCGCTCTGGAATTCTCCCCACGCAGCTATCTCCACGCGGTTGCAATCCCACATTGCTACCCATCTCACGCGAACATGTAACGTTTCTTTGACGAGTCTTTCTGAGCCGCTTGGAGCGCTACCCGAGCAGATCCTGGTGCTTTAACATGGAACGATCTATGCACTTGGTGTACATGCCATGGGTGTTCGGTGTCTATTCGTTGATCTGTTCAGGTTGGAGAGCCGTATGACTAACTTTGCTGTAGGCGATGCACTCTATTTGTCCGCTGCAGTCAGTGCTACACAGCAGCTTGTTAACGTAGCTCGAGTCGGCCCAAATCCGCTGCGACAAAACCATGCAGGTTTCGCTGCAAGCGCTCGTGGCAGGCGACGTATGCACCAGCTGTCTCGTCCATTAATAACAAATAGCTTCTATACAGTATTGTCAAACGCACTGAATAGCTCATCGCGGGTGCCACGCGACATTATTTCGACGCCGGCTTACACACTCCAAACTGTGTTCACGCCCAGCCGCGGCATTGTGCTTAGCTAATGACACAGCGGCATCGCACAGCGTCGCGCTGCTCCCCATCTTGCCAACACTAGTGACCCTGCACAGAGGTAGGCACAGCCTGCGATGACGCTCAGGCCCGAAAGGATACCGCCAGATCCCAGGAGTCCTACATGGCGTCATGCGAGGACCGCTGTGCAAGGGCTTCGGTCCCGGCCCACGAGAAGCGTTACAACTTCACCTGCATGCAGTTCGGGTCGTTATTCTCGGTTCATGCGCACTGGCACGCTCCCCGTGTGGGCATGTTGGATGTTGAACATCTGGTTGTAACGACACAAATAATGCGGCACTCGTCTCTATCGACTCACAATGCGTTCGAGCTTGGCTCATCACGGTTCAAGCTTTGTGAGTTGAATCCCCTTTTATGTCCGGAATTGCATTAAGAGCGTTTTGCATTAGTGGCATTGGGGTAAACGTAAATGCTATCATACTCATCACCTTTGCCTGCTTTGAATGTACCATCCAAGCAGTGGCATTTCAATTCAAACACGTTTTGAAAGGTTTTCTGATTACCGCTGTCATAATTGCGCAGGGCTTTGTTTCGCGTCGTGCAAGGCTAAGGCATGTGCACCCTGCCCGCAGTACCTGTGCGCAGGGAAGATGCGGTACCGTTTGACACGTACTGCAGGGTCATTGGGGCTTAAAGACGCACTCAGCGGCTATTGGCGTACATGACGTCGCCAGCCTCTCATCCGGGCAGGAGGGCCGGCGGCGCAGGAAGTCCATCTCCATATCGCTGGTTTGCTAGACGCACGGTGAAACCAGTGCACTTCTGGAAACACTCATACTACTCATTTTTAAGAGATTGATCTCACTTTAGATCAACTTCGGCCCTGAACAAGCCTGGTTACTCAAACCGAAATGTATTTACGCTGTGGAAGGTAAAATACCGCATCTAATCCGTCCTCAAAGAGTGGGTACCCCGCAATAAAAACCTCTTTGCTGTATTTGCCTCCAGGGCTGGGCCGAATCATTCCGTAGCAAACACAACGTGTGTCATGCAACCACACTGTGCACGGAAGTCGTCTTAAGCTTTTGTTTAACCAAACTAAGTGGGAGTGCCGGTAGTGCAGTGGTTAACGTGTCTGCGTTAACCACTACGCGTCTGGGAAACCAGAGGTACGGGGTTCGATTCCCCGCGTGCCCGCCCTTCCTGCCAGGGTGAGAGGCAGGCGACGCCACATAGCCTCAGCAGCTGAGTGCGTCGTAAAGCCCCAATGACACACACCAAACGAAGTAATCAGCTGTGGTGTTTGGTTACCAGAGCTAGATTGACTTCGACCGAGTAAATCTTACGTGGATCGTTTGCAGTGACGCAATATTTGTTGAGACATCCAGTTGTTCGCTCCGCAAATATTGCATGGGTGGCAGCGTTATTAGCGCGGTAGCGTGCATGATTGTGCATGCAGCACGTGTGTGCCTGACACTGACTCAGTGTAGCGTCAAGCTTGACGTGGCGTTGGCGGCGAGACAGTTGATGCTGTTTTGCTGTGCCGTCACATGGTGGTGGCTCGCCGCATCACTGAGGTCGGTGATTTTTGAAAATCTCTGCGGGTTAATACTGACTTACGGTCGTCAAAAACTCACTCGTGGCAACAGCTCATGCCGCACGCCCCGACGAGCGACGAGCGAGTCAGTGGTGAGTCAGATGGCGAGTGACTCACTCTGTCGCTAGTCGGCGTCATCACGAGCGCCTCAGCCTGCCGCCGGGGAGGGCTCGGCCTCGATCGTGGCCCTGTGCCGTTGCCGCGTAACGAGCCGTTCGTGACTGCGATTGCTGACCGAGTGCCGTCTGGGCCGCCGTCGGTCGTCACTGGCCGCCCGGTCAGCTGTCTGGTGGCCCTGCTGGCGCCACCGGCACGGGCCCCTCCGGCCCGCTCGGGACCGAACGGCTCCAACGTAATCACCACCGCCGCTGATTGGCCGCCGCCTGACCTCCGCCGGCCGTCACGTGACCCTCTGCTGATGTCACCAGGTGCTCAACTACTGCCCGAAGGACATGCGGGCCGACATTTGCGTGCATCTGAACCGCAAGGTCTTCAACGAGCACCCTGCGTTCCGGCTGGCGTCGGACGGCTGCCTGCGCGCGCTGGCCGTGCACTTCAACATGTCGCACAGCGCGCCCGGCGACATGCTCTTCCACACCGGCGAGAGCATCGACACGCTCTGCTACATCGTGTCTGGCTCGCTCGAGGTCATCCAGGACGACGAGGTGGTCGCCATTCTCGGTGGGTGGCGCCGGTCCTCCCGCTCCTGTCCCCTCTCCCTCGCACGCACTAAGGGAACGCCTTACTGGTGCAGTGGGTGTGCGCAGAGATGTTGTGCAAGAGGGTTCGCATGGGATGACGGAGTTTACAAGACTGTGTGAGAGTTGTGCTGGTAGATGTGATTATCTTTGCTTAATTTGTGTTGATTCAGATGTAACCGCTGCCACGTTGCGCTCTTGTGAAGATCATCAGATATCAGCAGACCCGAGTGTGAGCGAAAGGCATCCGTGCCCGCATTTTCTGCGCTCAGCTCATCTTCAGCGTGTGCTAAAGCGGAGCTCAGGCGTGGCCGGCGGGCACCCGCTGCGAGATGTCGTGCCCCTGGAGAGCAGCCTAGAGAAAACAGTGCAGTGAACCGGTCCATTGGTATGCAGCCGCAGGCGCCCGAGCTGCTTCGTAAGCCGCGAATGAGGTGCGGACATCCATTTTGGCGAGTTCTCCGTTGTCATGATACCGTCGCGGCCCGACGCAGGTCTCATTCCTCGGGTGAGCCAGTCGCTGAGTCCTTGGGCCCGATTCCGGGTTTGATTCCCGGTGTCTGGCGTCGCACTTCAAGGCTGATTTTGCATTTCATAGACGTGGCATTAGCGAGTGGAATAGAATACATCAGCACACAGTAAAATTTCAGCAGCAGCCGGCGCTATGGCAGTGCGGGGGAGAAGCTTGCAAGCCTCACGTGTTGTGCGACAGGTGGATCCCTTACTCACTCTGGACTGAGTCTGGTTATGACGGTGTATCTCTGGTTACCAGACTTCATAGTCCGCATCTGATTAGAGCTTTCATTTGGGCGTGATTCTGGGTCTGACTCTGGGTCTGAATCCATGCTTTAACATTGGTGGGTGTGGGGCGCCAGCCGGATAGACATGTGAAGTGAACCCGCGTTTCTCTGATAAGAGTCCAACAAACCGGGGCTCGACCTGAGTCCGGTCTGACACGGGCCCCGTCTGGCCACTGGAGGCCTGCACCGATGTGCCCCGTCGCGGTACGTGTTGAAGCCACACAGCTTGACGTCCGCCCGGGACCCAGCCTCGCCAGCGACTGTGGCGAGGCCGCGGACGGACGGCGAGCTCGGCGCTCGTCCATCCGCGCGGGACCCAGCCTCGCCAGCGACTGTGGCGAGGCCGCGGACGGACGGGCGAGCTCGGCGCTCGTCCATCCGCGCGGGACCCAGCCTCGCCAGCGGCTGTGGCGAGGCCGCAGACGGACGGGCGAGCTCGGCGCTCGTCCATCCGCGCGGAACCCAGCCTCGCCAGCGACTGTGGCGAGGCCGCGGACGGACGGGCGAGCTCGGCGCTCGTCCATCCGCGCGGGACCCAGCCTCGCCAGCGACTGTGGCGAGGCCGCGGACGGACGGGCGAGCTCGGCGCTCGTCCATCCGCGCGGGACCCAGCCTCGCCAGCGACTGTGGCGAGGCCGCGGACGGACGGGCGAGCTCGGCGCTCGTCCATCCGCGCGGGACCCAGCCTCGCTAGCGACTGTGGCGAGGCCGCGGACGGACGGGCGAGCTCGGCGCTCGTCCATCCGCGCGGGACCCAGCCTCGCTAGCGACTGTGGCGAGGCCGCGGACGGACGGGCGAGCTCGGCGCTCGTCCATCCGCGCGGGACCCAGCCTCGCTAGCGACTGTGACGAGGCCGCGGAGGGGCGGACGAGCTTGGCGCTCGTCCATCCGCGCGGGGACCCAGCCTCGCTAGCGACTGTGGCGAGGCCGCGGACGGACGGGCGAGCTCGGCGCTCGTCCATCCGCGCGGGACCCAGCCTCGCTAGCGACTGTGACGAGGCCGCGGAGGGGCGGACGAGCTTGGCGCTCGTCCATCCGCGCGGAACCCAGTCTCGCTAGCGACTGTGACGAGGCCGTGAACGAGCAGGCGAACTCGGCGCTCATCCTACCGCGAACGGGTGGGCAAGCTAAGCGCTCGTCCTGCCGCGGACGAGCGGGCGAGCTTGGCGCTCGTCCTGCCGCGGACGGGCGGGCGAGCCTGGCGCTCGTCCTGCCGCGGATGGGTTCGCGAGCCTGGCGCTCGTCCTGCCGCGGACGGGTGTGCGGGCTTGGTGCTCGTCCTGCTGCAGGCGCGTGGCCAGCTCCGGTTATGGTGGCCGGGCGAGATAGCGCCCCGACACTCTGTAGTAAGCCGGAACTCGGGCGGACCTGACCTAGGGCAAACCCGGCCTCGGGCAGACCCGGCCCCGGACAAACCCGGCCTCGGACAGACCTGACCTCGGGCAGATACGGCCTTGGACAGATCCGGCCTCAGACAGACCCGGCCTCGGACGGACCCGGCCTCGGGCAGAGCCGGCCTCGGGCAGACACGGTCTCGGACGGACCCGGCCTCGGACAGACCCGACCTCGGGCAGATATGGCCTGGGACAGACCCGGTCTCAGACAGACCCGGCCTCGGGCGAACCAGGCCTCGGGCAGACACGGCCTCAGGCAGACCAGGCCTCGGGCAGACCGGGCCTCGGGCAAACCCACCGGACTTCGGACGTCGGCCGCCCTGAGACGTCACCCCCGCCGGGTGGACGGCAGTCAGATACGGCGATCGACGCAGCTACGGGTAGAGCCTTTGCCTGTAGACCTTGCGACTCCTCATCCTGGACCGCAATCTTTGGCCATCTGGAATCTGGCTCCTGCGCAACACCCCCCATCGCCGGACACACGCAACCGCTTCACGTTCCCGGCTCACTCACGGGCGGCAATCCATGCCTTCAGTTATTGTATTTTGCGGCGTTCATTTGGGCAGTGGCGAGCTTCCGCGCTGTTTCATTTTGCCGGGGCGGTCGGGGTCGGACGAAGGCGAGCGGGTTTCTGCGGCGTGGAGTCGTCGACCAGCGTCACACCCTCGACGTCATCTGCATTTTATTGCAGGCGCGATCTGTCCGGAGCGACCAAAGGCCCGGCCGAGTCAGCCGATACCATCGGCTTTACCTCAGCAGACCGTCACCAGTCATGGCGGTGTGCGACTGGGGCTTCCGGCAGAGGCCGAGCAGGCGGCCCGACAGGCGGTGACGCTGGGCCACAGTGCTGTGCGGCGCTCGATCCTGCGTCTCTCTCTCTCTCCGAGCGTGCCACCATCATCCCGGATGTTTTTTTTCGGAACCTTTCATCCGCCGGTTCTGATGACTGGTTCGAAGCATTCCTCCACGGAGGCGTCTCGTCCGGAGCGCCCCTCCGCCGGTCCGGATCTCTTTCGTCCGGAGCGCTTCTCCGCCGGTTCGGATCTCTTTCGTCCGGAGCGCTACCTCCATCGGTTCGGACCTCTTTCGTCCAAAGCATTCCTCCGCCGGTTTGGATCTCTTTCGTCCGGAGCATTCCTCCATGGGTTCGGATCTCTTTCGCCCGAGCATTCCCATGGGTTCGGATCTCTTCCGTCCGGAGCGCTCCTCCACCGGTTCGGGTCTCTTTCGTAAGAAGCATTCCTCCATGGGTTCGGATCTCTTTCGTCCGGAGCGCTCCTCCGCTGGTTCGGATCTCTTTCGTCCGGAGCGCTCCTCCGCCGGTTCGGATCTCTTTCGTCCGGAGTGCTCCTCCACCGATGCGGATCCCTTCGTCCGGAGCGTTCCTCCACGGATCCCGTTCCGTTGGCAGCGTTTCTCCACCCCTGCGGATCCGTCGGCCGGCGGCTTGGTCGGTGGCGCGGCCGCGGCCTGGCGTGGTCGATAATAGCTGGCGCTCCACTCTCCGTTCACGGGTGCCGACGGGGCGGCGAAAACTGGCGCCGGCGCCGCCTGGTGCCTTGCCATGATCGGGTGCCGCCTCGCATGCGGACGCCCCGGGCGGACGCCGCAGCCCGCGCGGAGGCGGACCGGGGCCTCGTCACGCCACCGGCTGTATAACGGCGGGGACCGGTGGGCGGGCCCGGCGGCGCCGGCGGCTGTCAAAGCCTCAAGTCACGTGATGGGGGCACGGGGAGTTGAGTTATGTGCCCCGATCGTGGGAACTGGGTTTCAGTCATGTCTGGGTAAAGTCAGAACTGGGTTCAGTCATGCCGGCTGTGCGTCACGGTCGAGCCCCCCGGTGCGTCTTTGCCATCTTTGCAGGCGATGTTATCGTCGGTGTTTGATGACGGTGATTGAGAGCGATGTGCAATTTTCCGATGGCATTCAAGTACTTGCCACTGACAATAAACGGATTTTGGATTTGGAACAGCTTGTCTCGCAGATTCTAGACTCCGTGATCAGAGGTGTTATAATAACACCATAAAACCCATGTGAAATATAAATCATGTTGTGTGGTACATATAGAGCTCCCAGAAACATGTACCACCTGCGGCGCAAACTTTTTGCATACCTCTGGTCTTCATCCGGCCGTTTTTTGGTCCAACATCTGGCTGTCGTCTCCAAATGAAAACGTTTATTCGTTGTGCACCCTGATTAAATGTTTGTAAATGTAAAACCAGGCACGACGCGATTATTCTAGTTGCCTGCTCTACTGTGGTTAAGCCTCAGGTTTTTTCTGTAAAAACGGGTGCCCTGTTTGCTCCTCTAGCTCAGAGTCCTGGTTCTTTTTCCTCTTCCAGGAAATGCCGGTCTCGGAAGTTCCAAACACTACGTGCTGAACTTTTCGTTGTGTCCACAGTGGCGACCTTGAGTGTGGATTTTGCCTTCGCCACCTAAATAATTCCCGATGTTTCCAGCCTGACTTTCACGGCGCCCAACTTGACCCAAATTGGCGAGTTGTTTGTTTGCCCGTTAAGGTATTGATCGTGCAGTCACAGCACAGGTGGGCGCCGCCTGAGAGGGAGATGCAGGGGAGGCTGGTAGCGACTCCACGCCGCGCAAGGGGGGGAGATAAAGGGAAGGAAGCAAGGAAGTGAGGAAGGGGAGGAAGGCAGGAAGGCAGGAAGGCAGAAAGGGAGGAAGATAGGTAGGGAGAAAGGGAGGAAAGGAGGAAGGGAGGAAAAGAGGAAGGGAGGAAAGGAGGAAAGGGAGGAAAGGAGGACAAAAAGCAGGGAGAGAGAGAGAAGAAGAGAGAGAGAGAGAGAGAGGGAGGGAGAGAGAGAGAGGGGGGGGGGGGGGGGGCAGAGAGGGAGAGAGGTAAGAAGGACCGGGAGGAGCGAGAAAGGGAGGAACAAAGAAAACGGGGGAGAGAGGGGAAAGAGATGGAAGGAGGGGAAGGGGATGCTGATGGGAGTCACTGGTAGCAGGTGTTCTCAGCTTTACAGCTATCCGGGCGTCACCGCCCGGTGAAGGCAAACAACAGACCGGCTGACTGACGTCGGGCATGTCAGGCGCTGTTGAACACGCCTACGCTCCGTTTATTATCATAACCTTCTCTGAGCTTCTTCCGGAGGGGCAAAATAACAAAAAGATCCACCAGCGCACCAAGCGATGCGACTGCCAGGCGTGCGCGTGCGCTGTATGTGATCAACTGACGCCTCGTTCATCTTCAGGCACATGCAGTTGATCGGGTCGGGAGAGTACAGCTAGCTCGCTTCACTGAACGATGTTGACAATATTCTGCTTGTACAAGGTGTGTCTAGCTGGCTGTCTTGTTGCACGTGATGCGCGCAAAATTTCGCTTTGTAGAAAGATGTTTATGAGACACCCATGAGTGGAAATGTAAGCAGAAATGTTTCGGAGTGTCAGAGGGAGCTGAAGACGGCCCAAATTCGTCATGTTCGGGGCTCCTGGGCCTCCTGGTGGTAGTGGTGACACATAGAGCTTAGACGCCGCGTGCAGTAGGCTTGGTAAGGTGAAAAGACCGTAAAGGATCTCGAGTCATTGTAATTCGATTGTAATAAAGAATTTATCTGAACTAGTTACCGCGTGTTGCAAAATAGCTGCAACGGAAATCTCCTAAGGGGTTTTAAAAAGAAGACCAGTTTTCACGAACCCAAGAGGTTTCTATTTTGATAGTCACAATGTTTAACCATCGACTTTCTTCTCTCCGCCCCAAATTACGGTCTCCATTCCTTCGAAGACGGCAAAGGCTCCCCACTCATTGACTTGTCTATTAATAGATAGGTCAATGTCGCGGATGCATGCACTGTACAGCCTCGAAACGCATAAATTTGTCTCGCATCGTGGCATCTGTCCAGGACAGTGTTCATGCCTACCACTTGTTGTCTGATGGATCACTGATCATGATGGGATGCAGTGTGTGTTTCTTATCGCGGCGCTTGGAGGCTTGGATACGGCCCTGCTGCTCACGGCGCTGGGAGACCGGGAGACAACCCTGCTGATCACGGCGCTGGGAGGCTGGGAGACGGCCCTGCTGACCACAGCGCTGGGAGGCTGAGAGACGGCCCTGCTGACCACGGCTTTGGGAGACTGCGAGACAGCCCTGCTGATCAGGGCTTTGAAAGACTTGGAGATAATCCTGCTGATCACGGCTTTGGAAGACTTGGAGATAACCATACTGATCACGGCTTTGGAAGACCTGGAGATAGCCCTGCTGATCACGGCTTTGAAAGACTTGTAGACAGCCCTGCTGATCACGGCTTTGAAAGACTTGAAGATAACCCTACTGATCAGAGATTTGAAAGACTTGGAGATAACCCTGCTGATCACAGCTTTGGAACACTTGGAGGAAACCCTGCTGATCACGGCCTTGGAAGACCCAGAGATAACCCTGCTGATCACGGCTTTGGAAGACCTGGAGATAACCCTGCTGATCACGGCGCTGAGAGACATAAAGCGTCATAGGCCCTTGCAGACCCCGCCCCAATACGTCGACTGGCATTGCTGCGATTCTCTGTCTACTCGCGAGTCGCACCGGCCGTCAGTGATGCTTCTGTGACGTCACGTCTCCTGCAGCCGTGTCTAGGGGAGCCGGAAGCTGGCCGGGGCGGGTCGGCCCGTGCCGTCGCCGGTGTCGGGACCGCCCTCGACGCTCACCACCGGCCACGGGCGGGCCGCCGCCGCCGGCTGGCGCATGAGACGGGGGCCGTCCTCAGGCCACGTGACACTCGTCTCGTCAGCCGACTGGGAGAAATATGATACGGAGGCTAGGCTGTTGTCCGACCGCCGTGGACTGAAGGGTAGTCGGTGAAGAATGACTCAAATTAGCCCATTTCTTCATGGGAATGGTGTGGATTAGCATTAAATGTTACCTCGCAGCTTGCAGACACAGCTGCATGCACAGTTGCACATGAATATGCCGCTAAAAATCGGTTTGTTTGGTGTCTCAAAGTTCCTTATCGGGCTGAGGGCCCGAGTGCAGCTCTGTGTGTCGACACAGAACACAGCAGGGAATTGACGTGGTAGACGGAAAACATTGCAGGCTTTGCGGGCCGTGGCGGAACCAATAACTCGCGAACAGTAGCAAAACGAGACACCCTGTGAACGAATTGCAGGGATGCGTTTTTATGCACAGTTCGACTTCGGAAAACGAGGCATTTCGTTTTGTGTGATGTGCTGATGTGCTGATGTTGTCGTTGTTCTGTTGTGCTGTTGCCGTGTGGTGTGCGGCTGCCGCATTGTCATGAGGATGCCTCATATTGATGGGCTCACGTAACTCTTTGGCGAGGCCTGACCGGCACGAGACCGGCATTCTAGCCCTTCCGTCCTGACATCAAGCCAAAGATCGTAAACACCGTCCCATGCAGTGCCCAGATCGGGACGTTCTCTGCCCCCCTCCCCCTCCCCATGTCGTCGGGCCGGCAGGCCACACACCTGCACACCTTCCGACTCGGTCGTCCAGGGCACCCTCTCACCCCTCTCTGTCGTCTCCAGGTCAGGGGGACGTCTTTGGCGATACGTTCTGGAAGGACCCGAGCGTGGGTCAGGCGGCGGCCAACGTGCGCGCGCTCACCTACTGCGACCTGCACACCATCAAGCGGGACAAGCTGCTGGAGGTGCTCGACTTCTACCACGCCTTCGCCAACTCCTTCGCCAGGAATCTGGTGCTCACCTACAACCTCCGACACCGAGTAAGATGCTTTATACTTTAAGCTACTTTCGGCATCGAATTGGCGCATGGCGCAGGCAACCGGGTATGGTGAAGCATGTGGTGTTAAGTTATCCGACATCGCGTCAGCTGCAGGCGAACACCCATTTCAACGGTGACCGCCGTAAAACCGAGGACCGACGAAGGCCGGGGCGTGACAGCCTGCCCTCAAACCGATCGCGAATGCAAGGATGCTGTTGGCATTTACGGCATACGAAGCATGCATGGTGCAGAGTTAGGCGTGTGACGCGATGATAACGTGACATGAATGTGCCGCTAAACGCCGATTGTTCGCGGTAGGAGTACGTCATCAAATCCGCTGGATCAGGCGAGATAAACCGAATACCGAGCACCTCACAGCCACGGCGTGAACTGACAACCGATGCATTTCCATTCTGCCTGTATGCGTGGCATTTATTTTCACGAGGACCATTTACCTTGCGTCTATATCCGTTTGCGGTACAGTCGGCCCCTCTCAGGGGTCCTACGCTGAGATAGCTACGCAAAAAGCTTAAATTTCCTCCTGATTGTTGAAACGTCTCGTTTTATCATTCGCAGCCTTTTACGCTGTGATATTTCAGCACCGCTTTGTCTCCTGACTTGACATGAGATGCACATACTGCGTAGTTCTCTTACGGAGCGGCATGGCTATTATCATGTTATAGCGCAATGTGCTAGTCGCATCACACAAATTACACGTTTAAACCTTGTTTGCATTAGTTGTGCTTGGCAAGGAAAACTGAAGGATTGTTCTGCATAACGTTGTTAAGAAAGAAAAAGAAAGAATAAAATAAGAAAGAAAGAAACCAAAAGAAAAATAAGAAGGAAAAAAATAAGAAATAAATTTCATAGCTTGTTGGATAGGACTTGTCCTTTCTCCTTATTCGCTGATGTCCTCGCTTTGCAAATACATAGCAGGTAGATTCCGAGAAACGCGTCAACAATGCACACCCAAAGCTTCCGGCTAAGGGAGGGCAAAACTGGAGAAATCAGGTGAAACGCTATCGCCTAGAATCAGGTCAAAATAACGACCTAGGCTGAGCGACTGCAGAATTGTGAGTGATAACCTCTTAAGTCCGCCGTTCAGTAACCTTTATTGACATTACCGCACTTTGAATAAGGGATTAACAGCTAATGGGTACTGTTTTATTCAGAGTAATACAACAGCCAAAGTTGTAAAAGTCGGTAACGAACCAGATGCCTTAGATACGTTCTGAAGCCACGAAAAGTGTGTTGACATGTCTTGCCAGCGTATAATCCTGACAAGTGATGCGTGACTCATGTTAAAATGAAAAGCCCCATTTCGTTCTCGTTTGTGTTATTCACCACCTCGTCCTGTACGTTTGAGTCCCATGCCACTGCATGCCTCTCCACACCTGCGCCTGACAGCAGTCACCAGACGGGGCGGGCCTTCCCCGCCTGCTGCAGGGGTGGAGAAGGGACTGTCCCGCCTGCTGCAGGGGCGGAAAAGGGACTTCCCCACCTACTGCAGGGGTGAAGAAAGACCTGCCTCGCCTACTGCAGGGGTGGAAAGGAGCTGTCCCACCAGCTGCAGGGGTGAAGAAATGCCTGCCTCGCCTACTGCAGGGGTGGAGAAGAGACTGCCCCGCCTCCTGCCAGGGTGGAGAGGGGGCTGCCTCGCCTACTGCAGGGGTGGAGAAGGGACTGCCCCGCCTCCTGCAGGGGTGTAGAGGGGACTTCCCCGCCTGCTGCAGGGGTGTAGAGGGGACTGCCTCGCCTACTGCAGGGGTGAAGAATAGACTGCCCCACCAGCTGCAGGGGTGAAGAAAGGCCTGTCTCGCCTACTGCAGGGGTGAAGAAGGGACAGCCCTACCTGCTGCAGGGGTGATAAAGCGTCTGCCCCACCTACTGCAGGGGGGAAGTAAGGAGTGCCTCGCCTCCTGCAGGGGTGGAGAGAGGACTGCCCCGCCTATTGCAGGGATGAAGAGGCGTCCCGTGCCTGAAACACCGCAGTCTCCGGTTAATGCAGGACAGCCGCGGCATTACCCCCATGAATATCTCTCTCCTTAATACTACATCTCTGCGCATAAGCAAAGGAGCTATAACCTGTCCAAACCAAAACCAAAACCAAATCCACTTTCGCCGTGTCAAGCGTCTTTCTCCTGGCCAAAGTGTCCTGCCAGTTCGATGCCTTTAGCGTGACTTGAGTCCTTTTCAGCGCGATGCTATCTACAAATGGGCCGGGGATCGATAACCCCCCGCGGCAATAAGTGCCCAGACGGTCTCCGACGGCTAGCAACGCAAAGGAAAGGCGGCTTCACCCGGATGTGGCGCCTTTACCCCAGTAGAACCGCTGCAATCTCGAACAGCGTGCTGCTGGGTCTTCGCACAGAAGCACCGTCGGCTTACACGTCCGCCAATCTCAATGTTAAGCACCGTCCCACCACTGTCGCGCACCGACCTCTCCCGGACGGCTTCATTAGAGCGCTGGTGATGCTGACTTCATTAGAGCCGGCGGGCAGTGCGGTGCCGCGTAACGCGTCCAACGAGGTGGGCCGGCCGCTCCCACCCCCGTCCCCTTCCATCGACTTGTTTCCTACCGCTTCCTCTCTCCCTCCTGGTCCCTCCCACCACCTGTCGCCCATTTGGCCCTCCCGCTTCCTTTTCATCACCTCCCACACAACTCCACTCCAGCACTCTTGATCCCTCCCACCTCCTCCCGCTCCTCCCGTCCCCCCCCCCCCACCCCCCCCCCCACTCCGTTCCACCCCGTCCCACCTCTCCCACCCCGTCCTACCGCTTCCACTCCGTCCCACCTCTCCTATCCCGTCCCACATCTCTCACCACTTCCCGCCGCTTCCCTCCGTCCCACCTCTCCCACTCCGCTCCAAATCCCCTTCTCCATCCCACCTCTCTCACCCCGTCCCACCGCTCTCACCCCGTCCCACCGCTCTCACCCCCTCCCACCACTCCCACCCCGTCCCACTGCCTCCACTCCATCCCACCGCTCCCACGCCGTCCCATCGCCTCCACTTTGGGGCGGCCGCGGGCTTACGATGACAGATGGCGGCCGTCGCCGGTCATTAGTTCCATCAGCGGCGCCGAGGAGCGGCCGCCGCGCCGCGCCCACTCTCAGCCACCCTCTGATGGCGCGCTGCGCGGCGCGCGCTCCTGCCGCGCCGCCACTAATTCCACCGAAACAATGGGCCCAGAGCCCGCTGCCGGGCCGACTTAGCGGACTGGCGCACCGGCGCCCGAGTGCACGCAAATGGCGGTGGTGGCTTGGTTTACAGGTGGCTGTGGCGGGGTTTTGCTGTGATTTACTGTTCCGTTTGCAGAGGACCAGTGGGACCCGCACGCTGTCCCTGGTGCTAATTAGGGATTTTTCAGTTCCGAACAGATGTATGTTTACTACGACATATCATTTAAGGATATGCTATCTCCTGCCGGACGTCCATCTGTAGTCCGGATATATATGAAAGAGCGGAAAATCGAATTTCTATGATTTTCAACACGAAACACCCAAGGTGGGCACCGACAGGTACATATGTTTCCCCTACAGTATTGATCTCCGCATTAATCAGGAAGCACACCAAGAGCCCCCTCCCCTCCCCTCCCTCGCTTCACAAACACTAGTGGAGCCCAGCATCAGCTTATAGCTGACGGATGAGGAGGAGCGCACCTCCCAGATATTTCGGGACTGATTAAGATAAAGAGATAACTGAAAACGTAATTAGATGGCCAACGCAATTCCTAAAACAAACTTTTCCTGGGTCGCTTCTCAATAAGAGGTAAATATCAAGGTCATATTAAGTCATTTACATATTAGGTCTTAACAACCTTTATTCTGGTCTGTACGCAACAACCAATCTAGGGCGTTTTTCTGGGTCTATAATTAATCAGCAACTGAAGCATTTGGTAGGTGATTATAGTGCACTCAAACCATAGCCATGCATTGTTGGTATTTGACGTATGATGATCAGCTATTATGCTTGTTGCTTATCACTGTTAACATAGGTCATTGACCTATGATGAACTTCCACGACACAAGGCGAAGGCGTATGAGGAAGCGGGATTATCAGGTCTAAAGGCGAATGCATATAGATGCAAGGTGCTGGCGCACGGTGAATGTTTTTTTTTCTTTATTTTTCTTTTTTATATATGTTTCTATATATGTTGTTATGCATGTTTATATATGCGAATATGCATTTCCTCCGCGGGAAATTTCAAATCGGGACAATGGCCGGCGGATGCACGGCAATGAGGGAGATGGTTGACCCCCTTTACTTCATAGCTTTTTCAAAAAAACTCCGTTTAAGCTCCTGATAGAAAACTAAAACTGAGCTGTTCCTCAGATTCAACAACGCGGTGAGATTCATCGCCGTCGAGGAGATAAATCTCAAAAGTCAAAGTTGCGATGCTCTTTGGTTTTCTTATCAGCTCCCCCACAGCTGTGATGCTCCTCCTCCCCTGCATTAAGACATCCTGGCTGCATCTTTGGTAGCTGTGTCAACCATACGGGGCAACCGTCATCCGCATGTAAAAGAACGACACAAGTCACAAGTCTGACAATAAACATCATCTACACTTACCGCTACTACAGAGCATGCCACTAAAACCGAGAGCATCAGTCAACTTGGGCCAGTGACTTATGATGGCACATACGATGGTTAAGATATGGTGTATTGCCAATACTAGAAAAAAGCAGACGCCAACCAGACATAGGTCCAACCGCTCCTTTATGCATTAGAACGTATGCCGCTTTCAGCAATGCTCGGGCCGACATGGACCAGCTTAAACCTGTCTAGATTGCTGATCTGATATGATCCGAACCCAAAGCTTGTAGTACCTTTGAGGTGGTGTGGGATAACGCGCTGAACTCATCGGGAGCATAACGTCAGCCGTCTTGTAGGTATTCCAAAAGTGTTTCTGGAGTGGGGTCGATACCTGCCCCCACCCCACCAGTGCAAGCAGTACGAATGAAAAAGACGAGCAATTGAAGTACCCACACCGAGAGCTTGCGATCGTGACCTGTGGAGGCGGGACGGGCACAGCGTCCGTTTTCGTATTGTCAAGTCAGTTATTGACCTGTACTGCGATTGCAGCCGAATATTTTAGACAGTGTTGCCAGCATTTGGTGGCCAGACAGTTGTCACCACCCGCTGCACGTGTCCCCGCTGAGAGGCCGTCTCTGTCGCCGCAGTTGATCTTCCGGAAGGTGTCGGATGTCAAGCGGGAGAAGGAGCTGGCCGAGCGCCGGAAGAACGAGCCGCCACCCGACATCAGTCAGGACCACCTGGTCAGGAAGATCTTCTCCAGATTCAAAAAGTCCAGCGAGCGCACCAACAGCCAGTCGGGCCTCAGGTACGAGTTCACCCCGCTCGAGGAAGCGGCGGACGCAAATATTCCACGATCTCCAGCAATTGGTCTCCGTAAAAATCCACAGCAACGCAGCATGAAATTGGAATGGAGTTCATGGCTATGGCAATGGCGGTTCCTGGCTTTCTTGTCGTGCTGTAGGTATTTTTAGGTTTTTTAGGTAGGTTTATTCTGGTCGTGCTGTAGTTCAATCGATGGTCACAAGAACCACAATAAATGTTTGATCGACGGCGACCTGTAATTGCAACCGTAACCCTACCTGAACTATCGGCGTTAATCTTGAATAAAGCCGTCCTGTCACTGAACAGTGTATCACGGCGAGCTGGCGACGTCCCGCACCTGCTTCCGTCTATGACTGACGCGTCTGACACTGCCATCCGCCCCGCCCGTGCCAGTGCGGTCATCTCCACGCTCTTCCCTCGCCAGGGACGTGGAGGCCGGTGCCCGGAGCGAGGCCGAGCCGCTAGGTGGCGCTGCCGGCGACGCGACCATCGTGGTCAGCGTCGTGGGCGACTCAGCGGCGACGGCGTCGTCCGGCGGCGGCGGCGGCATCCTCACCTCGGTGAAGCTGCCCGGGGTCGGTGAGCAGCAGGCGGTTAGCAAGCGAGCGCGCACTCGCTGGGGCGCGCTGGGCGGCGGTAGCGGCGGCAGTGGTGGCAGCAGCGGCGGCGGTGGCGGCGGCAGCGGCAGCAGCAGCGGCGGCGGCGGCGGCGGCGGTGGCGGCGGCGGCGGCGGCGGCGGCGGCGGCGGTGGCGCCGCCGCCGGCGGCGGCGGCAGTAGCGGTGGTGACGCTGGGAGCGAGGACAGGCGGGAGAAGCCCAAGATCAAGTGGGGCCCGAAGGTGACGGCGCCGGCGGCGGCTGAGCGGGCGGCGCCGGCGGCGACCGTTGGCGAGGAGCCGGCACGGCCTCCTGCGGAGGCCAGCAGGCGACTGGAAGTGGTGGACACGACCAAGCTGGCTGGGCTACCCAGCTTCTCGCAGAGTGAGTTCCAGCAGCTGCTGTCCAACCTGATGGACTTCAAGGTGGACCTGAAGCTGGAGATGCAGAAGCTGCACCAGCGCATCGGCCGGCTGGAGGGCTCGCTTGCGGACGTGTCGCGTCGCATACCTCCCACCCAGCGGCAGGCGGCCGACCTCAGCCCGCCGCTACTGCCATCTGGCGGTGCGGCAGTGAGCCGCGAGGCGGTCGCTTCCGACAGTGGCGCCGCCGAGCGGACCGACCGTGGCGCCTCTCAGCGGGTGTTTGTACAAAAGTCGCGGTCGCGCGATGCGGCAGCGCCCCCGAAGCGGGCGGCGGCCAAGCCCCGCAGCCGGTCGGCCGTGGCGCGAGCGAGCGAGCTCAGTCCGACCGACTCGATGGTGCAGCGCATGCTGGAGGAGGAGATTGGCCGCGGGGAGGACTCGGGCTCGCCGCGCCGCCGGCCGCTCTACGGCGACGACCGGCCCGGCTCCCCCGAGGAGTACTTGTAGTGGGCGCCTCGCGCTCCCCCCTCTCTCTCTCCCTCTCGCTCTATCTTCCCTGTCTCTCCAGCACACGGCACTTCACCTTCCCCTTCCTTTGTCACTCGTAGAGCCGTCAGCAGGCGGCGACGCAGGTCTCATGCGGCCTCACTAGGGCACTGTATATATTTTTATTCGGCTTCCCGTTTGCTCTCCTGCACGGTGTTGGCTGCTGCATTTATACTTAATTGGAATAGCAGTGGACATTGTAGGGAAAAATCATTGCTATGGTATCACGTTCAACCAGCTTATCTATTGCATGTGTAAATGATTTTATTATGAAGAGCGACAAAATGCTTATATCATGCAGGCTGCTCTCCTGTGGGCTAGTTTCCATGTCTACATTTTACACGTACGCTAGGAGGAAGCGAATGGCCGTGAACGCAGTGGGCAGCTTTTACAAATCGTGATATAATAACTTTCAGCACTATGATTTTCTTTAGAATTCAACGTCATGCTGGATTGACTTCTTAGTTTGCCATCCTAGGGTACAGTCCCTGATTATCATAAGGTACGTCTGTCTTGAATATTTTTTTCACAAGCTGGCATACCAGCTTGCTTAAAACATGGTCAGGGTCAAGACGTGAACGTCTTTTAAAGCATGTTTGTCTAGCAGCGTCCGCGCCCGGTGCTGAGCATGACACGGCCACGGCGTTTTTACGAGACAGCCTGCCTCCGAACGGCACTTGAACGCTAAGCGGGGCAATTCGATTCAAAATGCCGGCGAATCCCGTGTGTGTGGGGGGGGGGGGGGGCAAATCTGTCAACGTTGCACCAGAGAAACATGAACATGAACGGTTCAGAAGAGTGGTGGCGGTGGTTACGGCTGGCCTGTTTGTCGCGGTCGGATGCTGCAGCGATGGACGTTAGCCCATGTGGTGCGGTTGATGCAGGAAGGCGACCTATTTTACTGCATGCCCGATCTGCAGTTCGGCTGGGGTAAAAGCCGCGTGCGTGTCATCGACAACGAATCTCGGTGTTCTCGCGGCGTACTTATCCTCGACCGCTTCTCGTGGCGTTTGTCGGGCAGTACGAGCTGCTTCTGGAGGCTGCTCTGATCTCGCGCGGTTTAAGTGTTCCCCTTCAAGACTTGACGCCGAACAGTACAGTGTCCTGCAGCCAAGACGTACGGTCGGCGGGGTTCATCGTCGCCTTGAAAGTCCATTCTCTCAAATCGCATGTAGCCAAGCAATAACAATCTCAGATGCCGCGATGCGAGCCTGATCGCGACCGGAAAGCAACCCACCTGTTTACAGCCTGTTGCGATCGCACATCTGAGGCATTCACTGCATGAACGCTGATTGGTGGAGAGGTAGCAGCTGGTCCCAAGCGGCATGTCTCATGCATGTCTTCAGTAACGTTTAACGTGGCCTTACATGTTTGCCAGTATTTTACTTCTAAACGGTCTTGACAACGGCGATCGTTCGGGCTAAGCGGAGATCTACGGACGGCGCGAGTCGCTGGGCGCCTGAAATGCCCGTCGTCTGTCATTGACTATTCAAAACATATCTGTGATTTAGACGTTAATGATGCGGTGTCTGGAGCATTTCTAGTGATGAAATGATGTTATGCCCTTTATGACGTGTTACCATGTAGTTTTGCTCGCATCTTGTCACTGTACATATTCATTACTTTGACCACAAGTTGAAATAATAGACTCTCGATGAGAAATGACCGCGCATTTTTCGCCCACAATGACGACCGGCGTCCGACCGGCCGACCTGCCGCGCGGAGCAGGAGCGCCATCTGCAGAGACACTACACTTGCTCACAGTCTGTCGCCACGGTCACTCACCAGTGGCTGTCGCAGGGACGCAACTTTTCAACCCGCCAACCCGGCAATATCGGATCTGCGAGAACCCTCGGGTCAAACATTTGGCCTAGCAAAACTATTTGTTTCTGTTATTGCTGGCATTTAAAGCGATCCAAGTACCACGGTGAGTTGCCAAAAGCAATACAATTATGAACAGTCGTTACGTTAAGAGAATGTAGCCGACGTATCAACACATCTGTCTTTCTTTTTCTCGGTTGGTCTACGGGGAATAACGTTAGGAGTTCTGTCTATATGCGAAGTGTTCCTCGCAAATGCACTTAACGAATTGCGCAACTATGAACAAATCAAATTTTTGTCTTTCCGACAAGAGGGACTAGACTGACGAGACTAGAGGCAGAACCTCGTGGCAGGTATGATACACCGGTAGGCTAGGTTCCACAAATTGAACGACTTAAAGTTAGTATGTAACGAAGACAAAATCAAGACAAACAATCAAAGTTTCCAAAGTTTAGCCAAAGTTCCCATTGAGCAGTAGTTAGGTGAGTCACCAATATAAGCATGACCACATACTACTTTTTTGTTTCTTACACGAAACATGTGTAATAACTCAGCATCGATGATTGATGGAATGAACGATAAAATGCATACCTTTCATTGCCTCATCTCGTCGGCTTGTCTTACAGCCCACTTGCAGGGATAAAATAGCTTCTGATTTACCGGATATGCTTGGTGATAAAGCGGCCAATTTCGCGAGTTAGCGACAAAACTGCGAAAATGGAAACAAATTACAACAGATTAGATCATGTCACAAGAGGCCACCGCAGTGAGACGAAAGTCAAAACTTACTATTGGACTATACTCGCAGACGCTTGCAGCGTGAGCTTGCGTAGAGCGCTTGTCGAAACGCTGACGTTGCGCTATATAAGCACGTTCAGCCACAAGATGTTGCAACACGTGGTAGCTTTAATCATGATAGTTCTTAGCAGGTGACAGAAATATGGTACAAACCCTACTATATTAGTGCTTACGTCACAGATTAGTGGTGACAAAGTGCTTTTTCAATGTCCATCAGATCAGTGCATTTCACAGATTTTTCTGCCAAGATTTACTTCACAGACTAAACAGCATAAAATATCATACAATTAGATTGTTTCTTTTTTTAAAAATCGTGGTTTGCCACAGCATCTTGCGACGAAAGTGATCAGCTTGCTGCGCGGCGTGCGATTTGATACAGACGGGCCCGAATGCTCGCCACGCGGTAATGAATTGGGTTCAGTGCAAGCCTGTGGACTGACGCTGGTTGTGCTTACGTCGTGAGAAGCTGATTGGCTTGAATGATGTAGCCAATCGTCAGTTTTTTAAGGCGCTGTGCGGTTTTTCTATGGAGGATGTCCCAAGGAAAAGTGTTAAAAAGCCCAGCCGGTCTAGGAGGCGGGTTGCTTAAGGATACCCGAACAGTAGCTTCATAGGTCAACGAAGGACATTGGAACGACGAATGTCAAGGATTCATCCGGGGCTTCGTGCTGCTGAGAGGAACAACGGCTTTGAGGTAAGAGGCTGAGCATCGCTGGCGTAGACCTTTAGCCCCACCCGTTGCACCTCACATTTAACGTTCTGGCCCGTAGACAGACGTGAGAGCAAACATTTTTTGTATTTTCTTCTATTGTATATAAAAATAAAGGAAGGTCCTAGAGGTGATCAAAACCGTCGTTTGCATCTGTTGATACTAAAATAGCACGGGTTTTGCACTAATTAATTGGGATTATGTCAAGAAGACCGTGGTCTGCACCGGTAATGCCAATGAGCTTGCGAAAATAGCGAAGGTCACTGACGCTTCCAGCTGCGTGTGCGATGACGTCATAAAACCAAAAGGATATTGTTTTCGGGTGCTTCTTAAAGAATTTTATCGGTAAATGTAGGGCTACAGAGATGCACTTTCGCAAAATACGCAAGGGTGAGGGAGGGGTGCAGGAAAAACATGGCTGAGCCTGCCTCCGAAATGCACTTACAAATGTTATCTCTCAGGTTTGAGGAGCTTTCCTTTCAGTGTTAGGAGCGAGGGCGTAGTTCGTCAAAATTAGTTTCGGGGCTGAACTCTAGCAAAGGATGATAAATAAAAAATGGTGATTACGAAATAACAAATAAAAACAGAAAACTACATCCCTGGCCAGGAGGCCGAACCCGTCCCCCCCCCCCCTCCCCCACCGCCTCTAACTGAATAGGTTATTACGCGCCTGTAGGCTGCTTATGTTAGGAGAACCTTTGCCTGATAAATCTATTAGCTTAGTCTCAACCATCAGTCCGTGTTTCATAGTCAGAAATGACATTTGGGTGCAGATGAGTGTCCGAAGCGAAAACGTTTGATGGCTATGCAGCATTTCATGCCCTTTGTCTTTGCTTTTGTAGTTTATCGCATTTGAAGTTAAATGGCAAGGGTCTCTGATAGATTTGGCCCCGGGTAGCAATCTAGACGGTTCCAAATTTCGTCGGTGACTGAAAAGGCACTTCGTTCACCGGTGCTCACTTGCCTTGCCTCGCTTGCCTGGCAACGCAGGCTGTCCTTATAGGTGCATTCTATGCGGCTCTGAGTTCGTTTATTGGGGATAATCGACCTTCAATACGTTTACTGGGACATGCTGTCTAAACAACGCCATAAAAAACACAAAAAAAAAACATTAAAGGGTGGCGAGCAGTATTCTTTGCGAGATATCTGGATCCTTCAATGCTGACTTGGCCCGCAATGCTGAGTTGGACCCCAATGTTTTTTGGCCGGAATGTTTTCAAATTCTTGACGATATTAAATATGCCAAAAAGCTCACCTTTTGGAATCATTTGATGTCCATAGTATGCTGAGGAACGCATTGGTATCACTGAAAAGAACTTTTTGGTTACTTAAAAAACTTAAAACGTAAATTTCTCTTCGCCCAAATAATCTGACAAAGCCTGATGCAAACACATTTCAGGGGAGATTAGGCTGATCCCGCAATCGTTGACGGTAAGCAACGGCCCGCAGCCATCTGCACCGATCTACTAACTAAAATCTACTAACCGTCTGCAATACACAGCATTATGTTTTTGGGTGTCGTGTGGTGTCTTGTCGGATGCCAAATCATCAATGATGTCATTGTGGCCGTTGCACTCGGATTGGCTGAATTTCGCATGGCAAGAATGGCCCTCATCTCCTAGGTGTTCGGCATGAAGAGCTTGGGGATGCCCTGCTGACAGGAATCGAGTTCCAATATATCTAGTGATAGTAACTAAACGACATGGACTGTGAAACAAGTGTTTCAATCTGTATGCGCTTCCACTTGGGGGCCATGTGCAAAGCTCGAAATGTCGATTTTTAACAACATTACCGGTGTTGGTTTGACAAGTCGCTTGATTAGTACTTCCTAGTTTACTGAAGGCTGGTTCTTGTCAGCTTAGGGACTAAAATCTCTGAATTTGGGCATGATTTGCCACCATGTTAAATGATCTGAGGGTATCCCTAATTAAAAATAAAAGCTGTAGGCAATCGTAGTTTCACACGCGTGTTAAAAAAGACCAATACGTCGACCAAATCAAAAGCCGCCACATCATCCAGTAACTTTTTGAATATCAGTCTGGCAACAATTTGGCAACATAGGACACCCATTAAATGGAATGTTTCACTCCCGGAGGTATTGAAGCTAGCATGAAATATGATGAAATAAGTTCACTTATGGCTATTGGTATATTTTTTAACTGGAAAAGCCTGCCCTAACCGGCAATATTCTTTGTTTAGTAAATGTGCTCTTCAATGCGTCATAATTTGGCTACGTCATCGTGCCTTGCACAACACTGATTGGGAGCCAATTGACGCTTGTTATTATTTGGAAATAACGCTCACGAACGCCAGATATGAACGTCTTGACAATCATATTTGTCTTGGCCTTGATCGTCCAATGTGTTGTGGACTAGCAGGATTTAAAAGACGTTATTACGTC